TATATATAACAGAATTTAATAATGTCATGATGTAAATATTTTTTATTTTATGAATAGTTTCTCTACTCTTATGAGCAAATACTCTAGTGTAACTCAACAATTTTATACTATCTCCTTAACCAATTGAAATCATGTAGCAATCGTGATATAGCTTGTAAATCCTTATAAACTTAATTATGTGCATTAATTTCCGTGAATTCATAGCATCCTCCTGAAAGCATATCGGTCTGCTTATAAAATTCGTTTGTTAATTTTTTTACATTGATCATTTTTTATAATAAAATCCAAACAACAGGTTTCACTAAAACATCTATTAATATATATGCAGGTTGTGTATCTCAAAAATTTTAATGTTGCTATACACATACGAAAGTGACCTTAACTGTCATTCAAAATTAAAATTATTATTTTTTTTTTTTTAATGCACTGCTTTAATCATCTCGATTTGTATAAATAACATGTTTTTAAGAATTCAAATTTTAAATGAGTTACATCTTCTCAAAAATATTTTTTTACAAAAAAGAGTTATTATATAAATATGTGACTAATTTCATGACATTTATTTTCAATAACTTATCCTGCAATATAAAAGAAAGTACCATCAGCATTAATTTGTATATAATGTAATCACACGTGTTTTTTTCTTTTCTTTTTTTTTTCAGGAGTTTGCCTGCAATGGGACTGTAATTGAACACCCTGAATACGGGGAGGTATTGCAGCTGCAGGGGGATCAGCGAGAAAATATATGTCAGTGGTTAACAAAATCTCAACTGGCTAAACCTGAGCAATTGAAGGTTCATGGTTTCTAATTGACGAAACGGACAAAAAAACATCCATGTCACAACAATCGAAAAAACTACTCCACCTTTACTGTTTTTAAATTGATAATAGTAAAAATAACCGTAATCATCTGAAATTCTTTGCATCAGTCACTATTATTCTTGTTGCTACTACTTGTGGATGAATTCCCATCACATGTGTGCATGTATATTTCAATAAAAAAAAAGTTTACCAAGTATATAACAATACCGATATAAGCTTAGGCTCAATACTATTTTAATCTGTTAGCAATTTTATATAAGAAAAGAAAATTGTAGGGAAGAAGCAATATTCCACAGCCTTATGTTAGATGATCTGACGTGGACGATTAAGAAGATTACAAAGACAACGCGAACTCATTTTGTGTAATAGGGATAAACAAAACTAGACATTTCTAAGAGAATACGTAATAAAGCGATAAACACTTTGTGGCGAATGGATTTTCATTTTGATTGTAGATAATATGTATTTGGACGCAATTGATGTGTTCAGAGAGTTATAAATTATTTATTTTCTTAGGGCTCAAATTAGCTTTTTCTTTTATTATTGTAACTCCATTACTTTTCAACTTGGTGGAAATTGTTTTATTTTTTACACAATATTAAGCATATATAAAGACATGAAGGACGTAGTTTCTGCGAAATCACGATGTTGAATGACTAAAGAGTCATAGGTTCTCTCAACTTTTGTGCCTTTAAGTCTGCATCGATTTAACACATACTTTATTTAGTGAACACTTGACAAGTTTTTTTTCTATATAATGTTACGCGATGCGACTCGTTTTTAAAAACAAGTGTTGATAAATAAATCCTTTGTTTCTCTTTTTCCATTAAATGTGGCTGTTCTAGATAAATAAATGGCAATTCACCAAAATTATACATTTGATTTGTTTTATTAAGTCTTTCCCCGATCCAGTGTCCATGTGAAGTTGCAGAATTCGATTAAAATTTTCCAAACCAGCACAATATCGCTTATGATATCTTGTACGAACATTACTTACAAAAAATACCTCGGAAATACAAATATATCTACAACATCCTCATTATAGAGTGGTATTACGTGATAATTAAATAACCTAATAGCATTTTAATCATACTCATTAAAATTTAATATTTAATTAGAACTCGAAGTGCGTCTACAAGCATAAAAAATGTTGAGCTACAAATTTTTTAAACTTATGAAAATGTAAATCCGGTTGAAAACTTTTTGGATTTTGCGCCACAACGGTGCAACAACAGTTTTCCACACCCATAAAAAAAAAATGAGTAAGAGTAGGAGGCTGCTTATTAGCATTTATATATAGCACTCAGAACAGTCAGAATATTAGATTTGTTCGGAATAAAGCTTGGAGCAGCTCGGAGCGCTCCTTTTTCTATAATCAATGCATTGAAGTTATTACATTGACTATAAAAAAAAGGAGCGCTCCGAGCTGCTCCAAGCTTAATTCCGAACAAATCTATTGATAAATTTGAGCTTGAAAGATTTCTCAAAGTATCAGCTTTGTATACCTCTTTTCGTCGCTTTGCATAAAAGATAGTTACTTGTAAAATTACTAATTAACGGAATTTATTGCGAGAACGCCATCGGTAAGGTAGAAACTCCCGTTAACCCACCGAAAAGCACAAAAGGTGCGAGAGAGCTAGGAAGGTATTCCAGGCTCGGTTCATTTTCCTTATCTTTTTCTATTCTATACCTGATGAGCGATCATTGAGCAGCTTATTCCTTATAGGTATCATGACTATGAAAAATAAAAATTTAATTAAAATACTTGAGTACACATAAGCACTTGCAGATGTCTCTGCTCACAGAAAAAAAAAAACACGCCGCGCCGCTCTCGCGTCGGCGTGAGTGTTTTTTGCTGTTTCTTTACTTCAATTTTGCGCGGCTTAGCGCGGCGGTCAAAATGAGATTATTTAAAATACTAACCCCACAGCCGCGTGCTGTGTAACAAGCCGACAGTCGATTTACACCTACTCGTAATTTGACAAATCCAACGTACTTGTTTTTTTTTATAATCAGGCATTCAGCAATAACGTCCTAGAGACTAGACACTCGTATGGACACATTTAATCATGAAGGAGGTAGTAGGCAATTCTCAAACAAATGACAAATCATGGACGGCGAAGCACATAGAAACGGATGTTTTGGTTTCCCATTTTCTGTACTTGTTTTGTGTGCATATCTACTTCTTACCAAGTATAACAAATGGCAAACTGGGAGTTTGGAAATTGGACTAATGGACTAGCAAACCAATCTTTTATATATATGTATGTATATATATATATGTTTACAGGAGCCAAAGTAATGCAGTTTTTGTGTATCCAAGTCGGATGCACTCACGTTTTGGAGGGTTTAGGTCATATAGCCGCACGCAACCTGAGAACTCGTATTAAAACAACGTAACTACTCGAGTCGTACAGTAATGCTCGGCCATTTTGTAGTTTCTCTTGAGGAAATCGTACCCCGATACAGCCATCAGTCCAGGAACGGGCAATGAAAGGTCAAGTCGTATTTAGCAGAAGGTGCACGGCCATCCTATACACGGAAAATTCGTGGTGTATACCTTAACCTAAACCCCCCCCCCTTACTGTACTTACCTATATACATACACGCAAAGAGCAGAGTCAAAGGGTTGTGCATGTGTGTGCATGTGCTCTGCTGCCCTCTATTATACCCTGTAACCGGTAGAAAGAAAAGGATAGAAAGTGTAGAGCGTTCGCTTCGCAATTCTTCGCCTAGTGCTCGGCGAGTCGGTGCTTACTGTGCTTAGTCGCTCGCAAGCCTTCGTGGACTCTCTCGCGAATAACAGTAGCAGCTGCAGGTAGAAGTGCACGCGCGTGGCAGCCCCTCGACGTCGACGGACGGCTGATCTCGTCGAGTCACAGCTGCGGCCTTCCTCTCGGCACACGGGACAGGGCAGGCTTAGGCTCAAGCGGCGTATCCATACCAGCGAAGTTAGTTTACCCGACGGCGAGGGAGCGAGGCACGTCGTTGTCGCTCCGCTAAAGCAGCTGCAGTCTGTTGATTCGTCCGGCTCGAGTGGCTCGACTCTTTCGTTTGTCATCCTTGTAGGTACTGTACGTGTGTAAAATCCGTATTTTGTGCACACGCAGAGTTGTAGGTTGTATACCAAAAGTTGCGGATTATTAACGGATCGGTCCATCCATCGAAAACAGTGCTACTGGTGCTGCTCTCTGTGCTCTCGTGTGTACTCAACTCATCGGCAGGGGTTCCCCCTGGATCTGTACATCACCAGCGGTTATCTACCATACATGTATACCAACTTATGTGTCGTGTCGTCTACATAATATAAAACGTAAAAGTGTAAATATACACTTATATGTGATTTCGTGCTATGTGCGTGCGCGAACGTACGTCTCTCTCTCGTACACAGTAAATAGGAGACTGCTTAGTACGTCTCGTCGTCCGTTGGCTCTCCGTTCGCCTCGTGCGTCCACGCTGCTGCAGAGAGAAAGAAAGAGCGAGAGGAGCCGTTGTAGATCCCGTCGCCGAGGACAACCGTCCCCGGAGAAAAAGGTGGAGTAGCTTCGAGCCAAACCCGTCACCACGTCGCTTGATCGTCGTCGTCGTCGTCGTCGTCGTCGTCGTCGTTGTCCTCGCAGGCAGGTAAGCTCGTTAGCTAAGTTCAACGAAACACACTCGCGCTCGCCTAAGTATATATCGTTCGAATCAAAAACCAAAGTATCAAACCCCAACGCATTGGTGAATGTGTGAGAAGATACACTTCCCAAGAGAGAGAGAGAAGGTACAAATTATATATAGGTATATCATGTGCCCAGCCCGCAGCAGCAGCTCTCCTCGCTGTTGTGTTTAACAGTCATATCCAGCAAAGGAGGCGTCGACGCGCGTGCCCACCACGAGGCCCTGGCAAGTCGGGCCTAATGTGCCCAACGCCCCCTTCCCTCGGTAACCCGGGTTTGTCTGTCAGTCAGGGCTTTTCATAAACAGCGAAAGAGCGGAGCTGAGAAGCTGCAAGTGCGCTCCGGCGCTCAGTTCTGCAACCCGGCCGCGGTCTCGGCTCTATATTTGGCCAGCAGCCGCAGCAGCAGTCGCCGCCAACATATTGCACGGGCCCGTTCGTCTGGATTGCCCGCACTTGGCGTAACTTTTGCATCGACTGGCAGCAAGTGTCCCAAAAGCCGCTGTCTGCTGGTGCCAATGCGACAACAACATGGGGCTGCGTGCATCCGCTCTTTATCCGTATGGACCCTGATGTTTAGTTACTCTATTGTATGTGCTTATATCTCTATTAGGTGTATCTCTATCATATATATACATATATATATATATACACCTAAAATTGTTGGTATGTACGTACAACATACCTGGAGTACTCTCAGGGTAGGGATGGGTGTACATTTGTATACATGTATATGTGCGTGCCCGCGCTCGTTAGATCTCTTTCTCTCTCGTCGTGCAGTCTATGCATGCAATAGTATAAATACATGTGAGTCCAGAGAGAGAGAAAGATAAGAGATCGTGCACACGGGCATTAGAGCACTGGGGCTGCATGCAGCAGGCAGGAGTATGCGAGCAAGAGAGAAAGCGCACACGGGGCAGCAGCACACGACATATTACAGTCAGGCTTTTTACTACGTTATACACGCCAGAGGCGCGCATCGCAGACCTATCTGCTGCTGCTGCTGAATATATTCTCTCTGCTGGCTGTGCTGTCGTGCTGTGCCGTGCTGTTCTCTCTATCCTATACCTACCTAAATACTTATATACATCTACCGACCTACCCTACTCGCCGTTCGTGCTGCTCTGTTGCTGCCATACGGTTCGGTCGGCTTGGCATGTGGCAGGTCCGCGAGCTCGACCCCTAGCACTGATGAGCCTTACAAACGCACCGGAAGTCTAGAGTTATCCGCCTGGTAGTGCTCCTGGCCCGTGAGCCCAAAGTTCCCCGGCTCCGACGACTATACTTCTCTGTCCATCGTCGTAATCGTCTATATTCTCGGTTTGACTATCCTGACCGAGGTCCCTGCTGCTCTACTCTTCATTTGGTCCAGCTACCTGAACATCTCTGCCGAGCGGCTCCGAAGAATCCGTGAGGTTGAGGTGAGCGCTGGCAAATGGCCAAAATTCGGGGGAGCGCGGTGCGATGACTCTGGTCGATCGGAGAGGTATTTATCCCCGGGACGGGTGGGACATCCTGGTTAAAATGTTGTGTCCAACAATAAGCGACTGACAGGCACATTTGGCTGCTGCGGTGCCTGCTCCATGATTATCCTTACAGCCCGAAAGCTTACCTGCATGGAACATATGTTTATTTTTATACCGTGATAATTCGCAGAAGGATTACATCACTCAGTTCTGCTGTATCTTATTTCATTGAGAAGCAGATTGCAGTGGATAGGCGAGCGAGATCACACATAAGGGCACCATGCCTTGGCAGTTTATTTTTCTTTTCTCTTTTTTCGTTCTTGTGTTTCTATTTTGTTAAATTTTTTTATTTATTTTTTTTTTACTCATACTTATAGATGAAATTTGTTCTTTGCTTTGCTGTTCCAGAGGATAGCAGCAGTCAAGTCTGTCGTTCCACATAGGCTACGTGTACATGAATGGGGACATTGGGAAGCTCCCACCAGGGGCGGGTTACCCAGCCACCCCTGATTCCCTGGCAGCAATTGGTGCTTCTGTTATAGACTACAGCGTCATGAACGGTGGAGCAGCTGCTGGCGAACTGATGCTCGATACTGGTGTTGGACCACTGGAGCCGTTGCCCCAACTTGCCATGGGGATGGGGGGTGCAGTAGGCTATGCACCCATTGACATGGCTCCCCTCAACGAAGTTTCTGCGCCCCCTTCCCAGATGGGCGAGCATGCTGGACAATGCAACATGCCACTCGATCAATTAAAACAAATGCTCTCTTCTCAACTTGAGTATTACTTTTCCAGGTACTTACTTGCTTACATTTTTTATTCCATGCATTAGAGTTTTTTTTTTAAAGGGGTTTAATAAAGCAAACTTAAGCATTTTTGCCCTCCAAATTGGCAATATGATTTTCTACACAGTTTCGTCCGTGATTCAATTATGCTTGAACACATTTTTTTTCCTTTCAAATAATTGTTTGGCGTGTCACTACATTTTTGTTCTATTGTCAGAGTGCTATCGTATACAATCTTGCTATTGAACGAACTCCCGACAAAAATGTACGTAATTACATCGTTCACACCAGATGAGCGTAACTTTACAATGAACCTTAGAATTTTACTTGCTAAAGACTCGATTTTCTTATAATTATAAAGAAATACTTTCTTAGTAAATATCAGATCCATTAGCTTAAATTAAGTACGTACATTTGAAACTTCATCCCACTTGCATCACACAACATATTTTAGTAGTTCATTGCTCAATAACTAATTAGTTATTTACCATGTAAAATTATATTTTATTTATCTTATCTAACATTCTATAATCATATTTAATAAAATTTGTTTTTTTATGATTTAACACATCTACATAAAAATATGTTTGTGCATGAAAATTTGTACATTCATCTATTATTTTATCATCGTTAATCGTTGCAAACAACTATTCTTATAGTAACATTCCAAGTTACAGCAAATGAATCATTTTTCAAATACATATTGTCAATTAGATCATATGGGAATAAATTGTCTTAACCGCAAAATTTATTTGAACTACTGCATTTCGTATACTGTATCATAACATGACTTAAGGAATTCTTTGTTGATTTTTTTTAGGGAAAATTTAGCTAATGATGCATATTTATTATCACAAATGGATAATGATCAATATGTACCAATATGGACGGTAGCCAATTTCAATCAAGTCAAGAAATTAACAAAAGACATCAAACTGATAACAGAGGTGCTGAGGGAGTCACCCAACGTGCAAGTTGATGAAGAAGGCCAAAAAGTTAGACCAAACCACAAAAGATGTATTGTCATCCTTCGTGAAATACCAGACAATACTCCGATTGAAGAAGTAAAGGTATGATTTTTCTTGTATGATAACTATACTGGAGATTTAAAAAATAAAAATAATAATAATAATGATACAAAAAACTAAAAAATCCGATTTTAATGATATTTTTCTTCAATTTTAGAATTTATTTTCTGGAGAAGGTTGTCCTAGGTTTATTTCATGCGAGTTTGCTCATAACAGTTCATGGTATGTTACTTTCGAGTCTGACGAAGATGCTCAAAGAGCCTATAGATTTTTAAGGGAAGAAGTTCGCGAATTTCAGGTCAGATAATTTAAATTTTTTCAAAGATACTACAAAGCTGTCTAATACGGCAAAAACAAGGTTTTTTATACATCGGCATTATTTAATTTGCAGGGAAAACCAATAATGGCACGTATAAAAGCTAAACCAATGAATAGGCTACCGATACCTACGCCGGTAGCAAATGTTGGTGGAATGAAAAATGGTTACAGAACACCACCCCCGCCACCAGTATTTGATCCTAATACTTATCAACCTGGTCAGCAGCGCTTTATTTATACAAATGGCACAGCAATGCCACAAACTGCTATGCCGCCATATCCAAATCAAGTGCACGTCTACGTATGTACAATCATCTAAAAGTTACCATAAGATGCATTTTAAAGTACGCTACAGTTTTCCATGAATGTTGATTGTTTTAATACTAAAAATTTTACTTGATTTAGCATCAACCGTTTTATCCTACTGGAATGGTACCGTGGGGCCCGACCAGTCCAGCTTTCTATGACATGACTAGCGTTTACACTATGAATGGAATCGCTTCCCATAGTTCATTCAAGCCACACAACACCAGATATAATCAAAGAAACAGGTAAAATTACTTATACATTTGTACATTATTTCAGTTGATAGAATATGATGATTTAATTAATTCTACAAATCATCTTAATTTCAATATGGTAATTGTAACAAAAATTCTTATGCTGGAAATCTATAACAAAGCCATTTAGATGAACAAGAAATAATGGATAAATTGATCAATAGAAACCTCGTAGTTCTATTAAATCTATTCAGTATAATTTTAAAAGTCGTACGTATTAACACAAAAAATTGTATGCGTAGTAACACTTATTCAAGAAATAAGCAAAGAAACGGTCCTGAAAGAAGCGGTCTTATGGATGGTGGAGGTAACATGGTACCTATGGCAAGAACCTCGCATCCTCCTTTGAGCGGAGGACCCGTATCTCTCGGAGTGGCGCCGCAAGCCATCCCAAATATCTTACCTAGTGCAAAACCAATGTCTTCTACCTATTCAACTGGCACTAAGTACCAGTCCTCCCATACCGTACATTCTGTTGGAGAGCTAGTTCACAGTAACCCTCATGCCAATAAAGGGTCTCAGGTGCTTGTTTGATCATTATCATTAGCTGAGAGGAGAAAGGTCATAACTTCGATTAGTAATAAGAAAAGTGATAACTTGGATTAACGCTATGAAAGGTAATAACTCGGTTAAGCTCTAAGAAGGTTATATGTAACCCGGCCGAGCGCTAAAAAAGGATACTCAGCTGAGCTTTATAAAAAAAAATGGCTACCATTCACTAAAGTAAAATTTAAAAATGATAGTTTGATTAAAACATAAATTTTGCAACAATGCATACAAATAAAATATTTTTATTTTGATCAATATTTGTTGATTAAATAACAATCGTTGTATTTTTAGAATTCAGACGATATAACACGTATCTTAGCGCTCAGCAGAGTTATCACCTTTCGTAACGCTTATCCGAGATATCACCTTAGCACTTACCTGAGTCATCACCTTTCTTAGCGCTCATCCAAGTTAAAGCCTTTCTTTTCTCAGTCGACAATATGAAATGTAATTTCATAAAGTTAATCTTTTGAAACAGCATTTTAAGTTTAGTTTTTGAAAAAATCACTAGTCTTATTCAATCGTAATTTGTTGATTCCAGGAAAACGAAATTCATCCTCAACAAGACTCGACGTCGCAGTATCCTCGCCACCGTACGCACCGTAGGACCAAAGATCCAGAAACGCAGTCCAAAAACAACAGTACCAACAGCAGCAGCAGCAACAGCAATCCTCTCCCTTCAATTAGGGAGACTTCGAATTCTGCCAACACTGCAAGCAGCAGTAACAATACGCAGCACAACAGGGGGCTCCAGTTTGATTTAGAAGCAGCAGCTTTTCCGCCACTGCCGGGCCTCGACGTCAATGCAACAAAGCCACACAACTCTTCTAACGAAAGCACGAATCCCGACAGCACACAATCGCAGAATAGGCTTTCCGATGTTGTGAAAGGCACCGCGAAGCTTAAGAGCACAAACAAAGATAAAGATCAACAGTCACCGGTGCAACAGTCGCAGCAACAGCTGACAGGAACAGTTGTGTCGCCACCACAGTATCATCACCAGCCGCACCAGCAACATCACCCCCAGTCGCATCAGCAGCATAATCCACACTCACGCCACCATCACCATCAGCCGCATCATCACCATCACCAACAGCAGCATCATCATTACCATCAGTCATCGTCGTCGTCCTCCTCGTCTTCCTCGACGTCTGTGGCAGCATCGACACTAAGCAGCCACAGCAGCAGGTCGACAAGCCCTGGCAGCCAATTACAACAGCATCATCACCGCCGCACATCCCCTGAAAATGTTGCCGGTAGCGTAGCTACCACTGCAGGAACGTCAGTGGCAGCTTCATCGGCTGCAACAGTGCCAGCGTCCTCGAACCCCAACGCTAATAGCAGCGCTGACCCGGAAGTCGCCCTCGGCACTGTTACGCTCACTCCCCCGTCATCTCCCGATAAGTGAGTGCGATTATTCATAAAATCACTTTAAAAAATTTTGCTCGTGCGTGCATGTTTTATCTCATCTACCAGTAAGTAGCCAACTCTTATCTATTGAGGGTAGCTACGATTTTTTCAAACTGTAACATGCGAACAATTTTCTATTGTTTCTATTGAAAATATTTCATCATGATTTATTTTTATCATTGTTATTATTCTCTCTTAGTTTAAGCATGAAATTTTTTACCATTTATTTATGATAGAAAAAGAGGGGGTGCATATCTAGAATCAAAACTAAAGTAAATGTCCTTCCAAACTAAGTCGTAAACTGTATCTTGAAGTGTGTGCCACGAAAAGTCAATTTTTTAGTTACTTTAGATTTATACAAAATTCTTTACTTTTGTTGCAGTAATGTTCTCATTTTTCGTACAAATTTTTATAAAGTTCAATATTCTACCTTGGAATATTTTTGATTAATTCCAATGATGTATGATAAATGCCAATTTACAAAACGTGAGTAATTTTTTTAAGTACTTGAGAAATGAGAATTGTTGCAGGTATTATAGTTGAGAACTTGACAAGCTCATGCAAAATTCTTTGTTAAAACACATGCACTTATGTAACAATAACACACCATACAAAGACACATTGTATTTGGTTTTGATATTCTTTTCTTTTCTCTTTAAAGATTTTCTTCAGTCACTAAAAACATAACAACTTTCTTTTTTTTCACTTTGTTTTGTAACGCAAATTACAATTATCTTTTTACTTCGGTTTCACTGATCTTAGTGTATTGTTTAAAATAATGTCTATTAACTGAGACAATTCATTGAAATAGTCAAATTTCTTTATTACAACGATGAGTCTATTTAAGGGTCGTATTTTTAAGAATTTAGTTTTAATACATTTTTAATATTGATACATATACGTGTATATAAGTTGACTGACGTTTTGAGCATGCAAGTAGTTATTCAGCAGATGGATATAAATACGTTAAAACGTCATATTCATAGTCATTTTATACTATTTCGATAAATTAATTGAATTGACTGATAGACAAGGCTCAATATTTGAAAGTGTCAAGAAAATGCAATATTTGACCAAACTAATAATAAATTAATTATTCTATGTAGCATGTTAATTCATAATTCACTTTCTCTGTTTACTCATCTTGGTTATGATTAACAACCAAGTTTACAATTAAAATACGCTGGATTCAATAACCTATTAGTAACGTTATAAATATAAATATAAAACAGTTGAATTATGACTGCCATTGTCAATAAGATATTTAAAAAATCCATTGTTGTTGAACTTAATTCTAAGTAACTTCCGAGATTTGTCAAGTCTAAAACACTTAAGTATGTTTTTTTTTTTTTTTTTTTCCACGTTTGAGCATACTTACATGAGATGTATTTGCATGTGAAGCTTGTCATATGTACAATATATTGAAGTAGATTAAAAAATGTGCAGGCACATGACATTAAGCCTGGAGAATGCTGAATTCTTGTTCGAAAAAGTGCATTGTATTAACATGTTTGGTGGGTGCTTTCATATTTTGTACATTTAATAAATCCTATCCACTTTTCGTTTATTAAATACACGGTAGTTTTGATTAGTTTAAATATCATTATTACAATTTAATGAGCGTAATTTAAATTTTAATCATTCTATTCTGCGAATTAACGATTTTTAAGCTCGCAGAATTGTAGGTAGTCAACATGGCATAAAATAATAATTAGATACGTAAAAAAACGAAAATAATCGTAAGAGACAATAATAATTCGAAAAATGAAAATAATTTAGTTAAAAAAGGAATTCTCAATTTTTTAAAGTGGATTTTGATAACTACCGGCAGAGTAGTGCAACTAAGCATTGCGTGAGTGCTTATTTTTTTCTCTTTTATCCGTTTTTACGCTGAAGCTCTCAAATTCTTATTTTTTTTTTTCTCCTCGAAGCTATTGCATTTTCATTTTTATCTTTTTTTGTAAATTTCAATATTCATTAGTTAATTTTTGTTTTTAGTATCCTTCTATTGCAGCTCCTATTTACCAAGTTGTAATATTAAGTGTATTTTACGCGAAAATTGTTTTCTTGGTAATTTTTTACAGACCGTGCATTCTTATCAGAGTTACCGAATATAGGGGTACCTAGAAAGATAATGCGATTACAAATTCACATGCTTTATTTTTCAGAAGTTAAAAAACAAAAAAATGTATGTGCAAGAAAAATCAGAGTTCTCTAAAATGCAATTGAATATTTAGTTTAATATATGATTTTTGGTTTCAAATTACTTAAAAGGCATTCATTGAAAATTTCACCAATTGAAATTGACAAACAATTTGTAATAATTTAAGTCATTTACTATGAACAGAAGAAACAGAAGATACATAATAAAAATTAATACGATATTTTACAAAACTATTAATATAATGAATTAATTATTTGTTACAACCCTTTTGCTCTTGCTATAGCTACTATTTTCATTATAATTATTACTATTTTATTATTATACTTCTACTTTCTAGTAATCTAAAATCTACTGTCATTTAAAGTTAATAAATAATGTTAAAATTGGTTTGTTAATTACTATGTGTATTAAAATTCTGCAAGCTTCCCTTTCCTTCTCATAAAGCCTAAGAGTAGTGCATCCTTTAACAAAAATGTCTCTTAAAAAGGTTTTAGTTATCTTGAAACCAATTAATTAGTTTTTCAAAAATTTAACTTGATATCAATTAAATTAAATTCTACACAGTTGTTGAATTGATAATAATAATAATAATAATGCATGCCATCAATCACACAAGTATATACACATTAATTTTCGTAAAAAGNTCCCGATAGCTTATCTTGCGTGTATATATGTATACCCCACACTTGTTCTGATATTGACGTATTCTCGAAGTAACAATTTTTCGATAGGTACAACGCCAGAAATCATGGGTTCTTCGGCATTGGATTAGGGGGAATCGAGTGCAGAGAACTGAGAAATATATTTACATCTTTTCTTTTTTTGTTATTACGCTTTTGATGGTTGAAAAAAAAAAAGCTATTTTCGTTGCTTTTGTAATCGGTTCTTCTTTTTCTTTTTTTTTATTATTAGGTACTTATCCACTCGAGACAATAAAAGATAAAGGATGAAAAAAAACAAAAGGATGAAAAAATACCTCTTCACCAAAGTTGAAATTCTTTCATCTGCACAAACTTACCTTAAAAAAAATAGCACATGTATGTATATTATTTATGCACATTCAAATGGCAGTGTGGCTATACGTTGCTATGCATAATGTAATCACGAAACAATGCGGCGATATCTCTTCGATGTACAAGTATTTTGACACACAGTTTTCTTCATTGTTTAAATCATGCCCATTATATTTTTTCTTTCGAAGCAATTAAAACTGAAAATTCATGTCGAATGATTTAGGTATGCAGCTAATTGGGGTTTTATAATTTTGATCAGTAATTAAAATATATATACACTAGAACGGTTATGCGCGGGCTTTCGACTATAGTACCGGAGTACATTATAACGTACATTGGTATGAATATGGTTAATAGTATGCTGTAAGAGAAATTTCACTTCGAAAAATTTTCTTATGTGTATATATATATATATATATATATATATACGTCAAACGACCGCACTTTTCATTAAGATGCCAACTAGCAATTGGCTCGATCACTATAATGACACATTTCAACTTTCTGGTTTTCACGAAATTAGTATCGATCGCGTTCAACCCCGCACCTGTATACTTGTGTACATACCAGCGGATCTTTTATTTATTTTTATTTTTTCTACCTCCAATCGTACAAAACAATAATTTACGATATCTCGGTCACCAAAATACGAGCCAATATGTGAATCATACGCAACAAGCAATGACGAGTGTGAGGACGATAAAAAGACGCACGTACCCATATATATGTACATTGCGTTTGTATCACACGCAATGTGTATACTTGCAAGCTCGACGCTCGACATTATATTTATATAAATTCCGGCCACTGTCCGTCATTTCATTAGCATCGGCTGGCAAGCGGTACGTTTTTGCAAAAAAATAATCAAGTATTTACATGTATAAAAGCTAGGGGGGGGGAAAGGTTGTGTCCTTACGCGCCAAAGGAACGCTTTTCTCCTTTCATTAGGTAAGTAGGTATACACGTAGCCAATGTAATTATACACACGCGTGCTGTTGCAGTGACAACTTACTCACAATATTTAGGGGAAGAGATTTTACGTTCGGAGAGGACAAAAAAAGGTTTCGTAACGAGTGCTCGTAAGTCCTTTTTCACTTATTGTGGGAGAGGTGCGTGTCGCACACAGATCTGTAGAAAAAAAAAAAAAAAAAAAAAAAACTTTTGTTGGAGAAGCTACTGCTGGATAGAATATTAATGTATGCTCAGAGCAGTTACCACAAACCGTAATAACTCTTCGAGTCTGGCTAGTGACTCGAAACTTCAATAATCGCCTGCTTTTCCTCTTATCCGAGCGTCAAAAAAGTTATAAAATGAAAAACAAGCGTTCGTGGGTGACAGGAAAAAAAACTTTTTACATTGTACAGTGAATTTTTGCCTATATTGATCAAGTGGTATCGATAAACAAGACATACAAAAATTAGATTAAAAAGAGAGAGAGAGAATAATATGGAACTTTTGATTAGAAGAGAAGAAGAAACAGATAGCAAGTTAAAGGAATTAAGTCAAGCTGATGACTCTACTCTGTGGAGTATTTTATTAGGAGTATCAGTGACCTATAATGTGTAGGGAAAAAAATATTGTTATCGTTTTGGTTCTGTGATTTTGAAGTGCGTATTCATTAGCTTGTAAAAAGTCTAAGAAATATGTTATGGTTATAACTTTTTCTTTAAAAACGTATCTCCTCTCCCTGACCGAACATCTACAATATAAATTTATCTACAGTTCAAAGCTAAATAACTGAGAATGAAAGTGTTAAATCTTGTGCCAAACCCCCACCATACGAGTGTATATGTAAATGCATATGTTTACATATGTACACACGCTCACAAATAGAGCTTTCACCAAGCATGGCAAAATTTTATCAAAATGCAACGAATTTTTATTGTTTGAATCTTATTTCTAAGTAAATTAAAAATATGTTTATCAGTGTGATAAAAATTATGTTTTAATTCGCAGGAACAATAAAAATTCACAAGTATCTGCTTGATTTTCTTTTAATGACTTTAGAAACGCTGCATGTTATTTGCATTATTTGTATTACTATTAATATATAACCTACGTTGTATGTTTTCCAGAATATCGGTAAAGTTTCCGTAACGGTAAAGGTATATATTGAAAATATTTCTTAAAATCACAATATTGTTTTGATGTATGACTAGTTTAATCGTTCAAATGATTAATCGCTTAAAAGAATCCAACATTTTTGGGATGTAACTAAATAACAAAAAAAAAAAAATTTACGGAATTGACAAGATTATCCATGTAATAATTTTGTCAAAAATTTATATTCGTATAAAATTGTTGAACAACATGCTTTGATGTTGAAAATCATTCAAAAATTAGAACAATAAAATGTCAACTCATTTCTACCGTGTCAAATCTTCAATTCGAAAAAACAAATGGTACTTTTAGTATCGGTATTCTGGAAAATAAGAAGTTATACCAGCTTGTTCAAATTTTTTTTCGGAACAAACAACTAGTCATAAAATCTATTTCGTTAACACTGTTTATAAGTTCTCTGAAAAATATGACACACCAATTTTTTAAAATAAAAAAAGTCCTATTATTGTTATGCAAGGTTAATTACAATTTAGGATAATGCTTAATGGAAAGAATAATTATTAAGTCGTATAAAAAAAAATTTATGGGAAAAGAAAAAAATGGTATTTGAGCACACAATTAAGTGCCTCAAGTGTTGTGTATATTACAGGAGCTTGGCTTTACATGTTATACAGCTGTATGTACCTACCTATACTTTTTAATAAGCGAGCGCATATGATATATTTGTTAAAAATATGCGTACTAAACCGAAATAATGAATATAGATTTTAAAAAACCAACCTCCTGAAAAAAAAACGAAAGTTTATTAATGCATTCTAAGGGTTGTCAAATATCTAATGACTTTATAACTATTATTTTCTTATACTGTAAGTTTGCAATGCTGCCTTTATTTTATTTTATTTTATTTTATTTTTTTCTACTATTTCATGAAACTGGTTTCGTTGCAATGTTGTTAATAATGAAACAAAAATATTAAAACAAGAAAAAAAATTTTAAAAAATCTAAAAACTAAGAATCCAAAAAATTTATCGTCGATTTTCGAGTGAATAATACATAATCATAGCGTGTATTATATACTTCACTTAAGTACGTATATTATGTAATTATTTCAATTGCGTTGTTGCTTCGAGTTATTTAAAAAAACAAGAAGGTATGATGAAAACGTAACACTGAATAAAAGCGCAGTCTTGGGAAAAAAACAAAAATGTATTCAACTATTTCTTTGGTAATACTGATAGCGATGCATTGTACAATTTTGAAAAATCGAATGAGCCCGCTTTACTTGTCGATTGTGTGTAATTTTCATCTGTATATACAATAAGCGTGTGTAAAAACG